TATATATATATATATATTTGATGATAACAAGGATACCCTCGTATAAGTCGAGAAATAAATTGATGTTTACGCAAGTATTATGGCAGAAGTGGATGCGAGATTTGATGAAGAGCGAAACTCGTTCATTTCGGGAGAAAGAGGGAAACGAGCGGCTCAGGATGAAATAAATAACGGGGAACGAAGGGAGGGGCAAAGGGGAGAAAGAGAGAAAGCGAGAGGTTAATATACTGCCTCACGGCATGAATAATTTACACTCGCTCGAATTTAAATAAATTCGTTCACCGCCGCCACCGTCGTCGACGACTCGAAAGACCGTAACCGGGGGTCGATTCCGGCGGGGGAAGGGGGGAAGGGGCCCTCGAAAGTTGTTTACTGTCGCAGTTAATTTTAAACGAATTCGCCGGATATCGCGGATGTCACGTTCGTTATCGCGGGGTTATTCATGTTATTCTGCGAAATTACTTAGAGACCCGTCAATTAAGTCAACGCGCGATGCAGCAACGCTCGTAAACAACGCGTGACGTAAGCTAGAAATAATATAGCATTGCAGTAAATAGCGAGAATAACACAATAGGAGAAAAATATACGACGCAGAGCGTCATAATTCACGAATCGAGAAAAAAAATTTTCTTTGACATTTGTCAATCGAGAAATTTATCTCGACTCCCTCGTGAAAATTTAATTACTGATAATGTATATACGATAATTACCGATAATTTCGATCGAAATTTCACCTCGCTAAGATTTGGGCCTTGGATTTTATTTTCGGCAAGCTTGAGGATACGGGTCTGATAACGGGCGTCGCGTCTCCTCTCTCCGACTATCAGTTGGTCGCGCGTGCGACATCCTGTCGGTGGGCGAAAATAAAAAAGAAAAAAAAAAAGAGCGAAAGAGATTATCAAAACCGACGAAGGCCGTAAGGTCGTGGCACGTGAACCGCGAATGATCGAACGAGATTCCGTCACGCCCGCGCGTAAGAGAATGCCGTTGTATAAGCGGTGTGTCCGTATAGACCGAAAAACATGTTTGGTTCGCGATCAGTTGTTTATGCGATATATCGTGTGAAAAGGAAAACACATACTTTAAAGGTCTCGAGAAGCGGCATCGAGAGCCTCGATCATTGGACGGCATTAATCTCGATGACGTTGCGGAGATAAAAATAAGAAAAAAAAAGAAAAAAAAAAGAACGAGAGAGAACGCGAAGATTCTCTGGCGAAATATCGACATATATTTTTTTCTTGTAATTATCCCTTGTATAATTCCTCTCTGACGCTACTTGACGTAAACACAAACAGACTGTGCGCGAACGTTGCGGTAGATAATGCTCCTATTAATGTATCATAATGCAAATACCAACGCTGGCAAAATTATGATTACGCGCTCTCGTGAGGGAGAAGCCACCCCATTCTGGATTAAACTACCCCGCTCGTATCTAGCGCATAATTCTCGAAACTTTGCTCGGGTTATACGATGCAAGGAACGCGGAAAACTCACCTTCACCTCGAGAGTTGCATGCGAACGGAAAAACAATTTAGGGTACTCGCGTAGTGCAACGAAACTATTGTTAAGTGCCCTTATGTTTAAACAACCTCGCATTTTTATTTTCCTCTATTTTTATTTTTATTTTTATTTTCCTTTCTAATCATATATACATATAATTTACACAAACATAATTAGCGCACTCTTTAAAATTGTATAATTAGAAATTAACTAATATATATTTTATTATCCTAATTTCACATTTATACTGCTTCTCATATGTGTACGTGTGTCGCAATCCCGTTAATTCTCAAGTACCCAATTTAACAATATATGCATACTTAGCTATGTTTACCTATATGCACGCTCTACGGCAATAACGGTACATACGTGCATTAGAAACGTTGTTGCCGCGCGTCTTTATCCCCTTCCCCCTTCTCCCTCTCCCGCTTAGGATCGGAAAATACACGATAGTGTATATATGTGTGTTTTCGATTAAAAAGATTATTTTTAAGATCTCAAACTAGTATCTCATATATTCTCGAGGCAGATCGCAACAAAGTCGAAATATATTACAGGTCGACTGTTGCTCTGTTAAAATCTCTTACCCTCGAAATCGAGCCTTTATAGCACACATGGCTTTTCCATAGAAGAACCTTGTAACTAGCCGCCTCTCTCCAAAGTAGAATTTAATCTCACGCTTTATCTATTAATCGCTCATGCATATTTTTTCGATGATCGTGACGACGTAGATCCATAAAATTGCCCAAAGTATAAATTAGAAAAGAATCTCATTATCTGATTTGTCGATCTCCGATAAGGCCGATTAATATTACGATCGATATAAACACTTAACATATTATTACAAGTCTTATCGCATTCCTTCCACAAACACGATATTATTGATCTGTATTTTGAACTTATCGCAAATTTTTTTCTTGATACTTGGAAGTCGGCTCTTTATTTATCATTACTTGTGTTGTCACCACGTATCGTGTACTTTGCACTTTCATTTATTCGCTCGGGAGACACATTTATTGCGAAGTCTAATAAATATTTTCTCTCTCGTTTATAATCAACGAGTTTTAATTAATGAGCTTTATAATTAAAAAATATATACCGAGTTCCCTCTCTCTCTCTCTCTCTCTCTTATCTCTTACTATTTGTTCCCGTTCTATTAATATGCTTATTTTCCGTAAGCCTATCTTTGTTTCGTCGTATTCGTCGAGACGAGAGGAGCCTTATGCCCTACTAGAACCGTCGCGAACAAACCGTATTCTATTCAATTCCATTCTCCCTCGGTCTCTCTCCGTCAAACGAACGCTTTTACTCGTCGGGCATCGGCGGCGCGTGATCCAATTTAGCCACGTTCGCTCGCTCGCTTGCTCGCGACACGTTTCTCAGCGTCTGCGAATGCAAAACATCTCATTCACGGGCAAAAGTGCTGGCCGCCTGCGCCAATAGGCGTAGTCCCTTACCTGCGAGAGCGGCAAAAACGAGAGTAGCAACGCGCGAAAGAGAAAGAGAGAGAGAGAGAGAGAGAGAAAGGACGCGCGAAAAAAGAGGAGAGGGGGGGGGGCGACGACGGCGGATATATACAGAGAGCATCGCACTCTCCTTCGCCTTCCCTCGTCCTCCGCCCGCGCGTCTCGCGAAGGGATAGAGAGAGGAGGAAATGGTAAAACCGCGCGTATCGAGAGAGAACGTCATAAGACGGAGAGGAAAGAGAGAGAGAGAGAGACGATGATGGAGAGAAGACGGCAGAATGCACGAGAGAGAGAGAGAGAGAGAGAGAGAGAGAGGAGACGAGCACGGGGCTAAAATTAGAATGTCCGTTGGAATGCCGCTGGATGGTAGTGGTGTATACAGGGTGATTCAGCGAGTGAGATAGAGAAAGAGAGAGAGAGAGAAAGAGTAAAGATATGCGCGGATAGAGTTTATTTCGTCCTGGGATG